ATTCACCTGTGGGAGCTGTAAAAGGGATCGATTCTCTGAGCCATGGAGGCTTTGTGAATCGATGTCTGACTAACACCATTCGGGTATTTACAGAGACTTTCATTAGCATGGGTTAAACAGTCATCAGAAGGGCTGTGTGCTGATAACGTTTCATGCAGATAACATGATAAAGRTGGTGCCCACATGCAGATTTAACGTCTTTGATTGTTTAATGTCCCTCTGCACACCCAGGTTAACAAACACAGCCTTGGGGAGGCGGCCACTGGAACAGAACGTGGAGCCGGCGTTCTGCATCACCTGCCTCACCTCAAACAAGATTAATCATCTCTCTTCACCTGGCTGGTGTAACCCAGCTAAGGAAATTTCATTGTTAAAAATACCCCTCTTCTTGCTGAGCTGTTTGCTCCCTGCATTGACAAACGGCACAAGGAATATGAGAATGTCCTGTCCTTTAGAATGCAGCCTGGATCGACGGGGCTCCTTTCAGCTTGTCTCTGCAGAAGGGATAAAGCTGAGCTGACACGAGCAGGACAGCCATCCCTGCTTCCCAGGGAACCTGCTSTTCCCATTCCTGCCTGCTGCTGTCCAGCACCTCCTTCAAAACCAACCTTTCCAAACGTCCAGTGGCAGAGGGGAATGGCAATTCAGGCTCAAAGCCGAAATTCATGTTCCTTTCACAGCATCACCACAACAGAGCCGTACACATCCACACAACAGCAACCCTGCAAGCAGACACACAGTCCCAGCTGAGCCACTTGACAAATTTCAGCTCTATTATTAGAGCTTCTATAAACTAATGTCAGTGTTTATGTAAAACAAGGTGGCTGAGGGCTGGGACTGATGAGTTCTCAGAGAGCTCTGGCTGGTTTATTCGTCGCTCAGAGGATTTCGCTGTTAAGTGAAACAAGATCCATTTGTAATGGGATATATTTTATTTTTTATTTAGGAAAGGCTGAGCATTTAATTGGTCCAGGTTAGTGTTAATCCATAGTAGTGCTAAATTTAGAYCCAGGAATGGCTTCTGGCAATTTGCAGGTTTTGAGCTTTATGGCTGGAAAATAATACTGAGGGAGGTACAGCAGCTGCAGGGCCCAAGTCAGAGAATGCAACTTCACTTCAGCAAGCTTCAAGCAGTTAAAAAACCCCAAAATATCAAACAATAGGAAAATAAACAAAAAACTCAACTCAACCCAAAACAAAATAACCACCAAAAAAATTCAAAGAAAACAATACCTCCCGACTACATGTAATTGAAATTCTAACAGGGACTAGAAAGGCAGAATGTAATGAGGACAATTAGAATCAGATGAAAGGTTTCAATAAATCTCTTCATTTATACAAAAAAAAATCAGTAAGTGTGGCAGTTTTAATATTTATAATCATAACATTAATCTAGAGAACAGTGCCCTACAGTGCCCACACAGCCCATGCCTGGCTGCTGTTATTCAGCAATTCACAGCACAAAGCCTTGGCTGRCACCCGCAGCTGGGCACCTCTGTGCTCCTTTGTACCGAGGCAGCTCAGTCCCTGCACTTCAGAGAAGACACAGCCTAAAAGAGACGCAAGAACAGAGGGTTACAATGGGATGTGCTTTACTGATCTCCTGTTCTGGTGCCTACATGAATCATCTCACAGACACAGCACAGRGCAGTGCAGCTGAACATTCAAGRACAATTAAAATACAGRAAGGTTCACCTGTGTCATTGGCAATTTGCATTACAAAACAACARGCCATCGCTCAACATCTTGTTCCTTCTCTTAAATCTGATATTTCAGCTATCCAGAGCTGAGGGTTCAATAAAACATCACTCAAACAATTCCAGTGCACGGTTTGAACCACCACGCAAAAGCACGTCCTGTCCTCTCAGCTTTGTGAAACTCAGCCCTAAAGTCTCTGGACCACTTTTCCTCTGTCCCACCAGCCAAGTAAGAGAAAGAAACAAGGGYTGGCATTTCACAAAATGCAGACACGGATCTGAGTGTCGTTCAGTGAGAACAACTCACTGGGGACTTCAAAAGACCAGCGYAGCTATTGCGACATAGGATGTAACCGAGATGGAAAAAGCCTAATCTTCTCCCCGGGCTGTTTATTGCCTATGTTACAGTCCCCTGTACATCCAGCCATCCCCGGTGCCCGTAGGAATTGTATCAGCAGAAAAAGAACAGAACATTCTCAAGAAAGCCTCTGAAAAGCAAAGTGTGATCTCCAGGGTGAGCGCTTGTGCCATTAAACGTCTGACATCACATTTCGCTGCAGGCGATGGCAAATTTGTCACCGGATTCAATAGCAAAGTTTGGGCTGCAGGCTCCCTCCTCCCACCCTTTTCCTTGGCCTTGCCCCTTGCCAACGAGATTAGTGGGACAGAAATAGAGGGAAACTTTAAGGAGGACGTAAAGGAAAAGCTCGGGCACTGTGCTTGCGTTTGTCCTCAGCCACCAAGAGCTTCCCTGTTTCAAAAGGGCAGAGGGCAGCACCCGCAGGCAGGTCCGGGGTGCTGCCCTGGGCTCTGCTTGGAGGCCCCCAATTAAAGGAACCATAGCTTGGAGGCTCTTATTTTCCAGCAGCATTATGCACCGGTCTGCATTAACACACCTGAGCTTGGGCTGCAATGGCAATCCGAGGCTTTTCTTTAAAACACAATTTTTAATTTTCCTGAATTTTTCAATAATACTGTTGCAAGAGACAGAGCAGGACAGGGTTGTGATGCCAAATCTCCTTTGCCCAGCCAGAGTCTGGCACCACTTTTGTGAAACAGATCCCCTCCAGAAAGGCGAGCGAACAACCCGAGACATTTTGCCATCTTGCTTCGAAAAAACAGAAATTGGTCTTTAAACACAAATGGTAAACATCTTTTATCATGCACATGTGTAGTGGATGTGCTGGAAAATGTGTCTCAGCCAGAAAACACACCATGGTGAAGCAAGAAAGTATTTTGCAAAGTTTCTCTTTTACTGAAACAAACAGCAATATCCATGCTTTAAAAGTATAATAAATATATAAAAATTTATATMCCCTAATCCAGCCAATAACATTGAATTTTAATCTAAATGGCTTTTAAACCAAATGTTATGACAAGAATGTTTTATAAGGTCATCTAGCCTCACAATCCCATATTCAGCTTATTTTTTTACCTGTTTTTTTTTCCACTCTTGAAAGATATTATACATGTTACAACTGCCTTCCTTAACTGGCACKTCCATTTTATGGGTTTCTGAAAGAAGCAATTAAAAAGTTTGAAATAGAAAGTATCAGATAAATACGTGATTCATGCTGCAATTTTCCATATGCTCACTACTGCCAGCTTTACAACTTGGCAAATGYTGGGAATATCCCAGCTCTACCCTTGCAAGCCTCCTCTAGGACCAACAAGAAAACATTTTGTCAGGCTTCAAACATCTGCAGGATCTCTGGTGTGCTGTGAGCTCCCAAAACGTAATTGCTGAACCAAAGCTTAGTGTAGCTTACTCGACTGTCAAGTTTTCCACTTTCCAATAGCTGGCACATTTCCCCTCGTTTAATTTTGAGCATCAGGTGAAAGAAACTCGAAACCAGCGTCCAAGCTGGGGAAATCTGCAARTCGGGTGGCAGGTGGGGACGTGCCGTTCTCCTTGGCCGAGCGTTTGATCCTGTGCAGAGGCTCCGAGCTGGGAAGGGCCGGGGCTGAGCTTCCCTGCGCTGTTCCAAGGGAGCCGGTGCCAGGTCCGCCCGTGCAGGGAGTGTTCCCGGCTCACGTGTGTCACAGGCTGTCCCGCAGCCCCGGCGGGMTCGCAGCTGCTGCTGCCGATGGAAGTGCCTGGAAGGCAGGCAGCGCACACCCATCCATCAGCCCGCCCCGCTCTTCGCTTCAGCAGCTTCACCCCTAAAGTTTCTGATGCCTTTACAGCACTTAGAGCCTTACTCTTTCCACACTTTTTCCCATGGCAACCACCCTCACAACAATTTCCCTTTAGAAAATGTACATAACATATGCAGGACTAAGCTCTACCTGTAGCAAAAGTGATTTTTATAGGAAGGAACTTTATTTTCCTATCAGATCATCAGTGTATACTGCAAAGCACTTACAGCCAGCAGCACTGGAAAGTTGTTTAAACGCTGTCACAAATTAAATGGCATTCCTTTCCCCCAGATATCTTTCAAAGCAAAATGCCTCTTGTGCAGCTTTGTGAGTGTTCAGTAAGCAGAGGCTGTAAGAACACCTAAAAGTGATTACCTAAAAGGATTAGGTGTTTATGCTGCACGATTGTGTCGAACTCAGGGGGTGTTTTGGGAGTCAGTCTCTCTGAACTCTGCTTTTTGTGGCAGGAACGATGTGCTCCAGGGTACTGTTCAGGGGAAGACACGCACAGAAAAGAGCAGAAAAGCAGAGAGAGGTTAACGAGAAACTCAGTCGGTTCCTAAATCCAAATTCTTTGGACGTGATACCCTCCAGCTGGACACTGCTGAGAAGGACCACATGGCCTTTGCAGCAAGCCCAGGGCTCGGGTAAGGCAGCGCAACTGCAGCTTCCAGAGCGGGGAGTCATTTACACAATTCACTGGTAGGTGGCAACACTGCACAGAGCTAAACCCTGAAYTGGGGGATTGAAGGATCCACAGCTGGCTTAGCTGACGGGTGAAACCAAAAGCACTGCACGCTCAGAATTAGGGTTGCTTCATTTTCTGAAGAAATGTGGCTAAATCCTTCCTTACTGGCCACACTCAAAAATCTGAATAACCTTARAACAAACACCTCCAGAAGAGCAGGGTACATTTCTGACAGACGGAAAGAACAGCCAGCCCTTTGCCGGTGTGACACGCCAAACGATTTCCAAGAAGGAGGGAGAAAAAAAWAATAATAATAAAAAAAAAWGAAGGGAAAAAAGAGCCGTGCTGGCGGGGGGAGGCAGACTTGTCTCTAGTGGGAAAGGCAGGCGGGGTGCGTGGCTCGGTGCCGCCCCCAGCCCGGCCCCGCCCGGCCGCAGGGCCATAAGAGCGGGCGCGGCAGAGGCGCGGYACAGTCGGGTTTGGTTCTCTCCGCGATGCAGAGCGCGCTGTTCCTGGCGGTGCGGCACGGCGGGCGCATGGAGCGGGGCAGCCGCCGCCGCAGCGAGCCCGAGGAGGCCGACAAGGGCAGGATGAAGAGAACAATGTGAGTCCCCCGCCCGCACCGAGGGAAAGCGTTTTCCGTGCCTTCGGGGGCTGCGGGTGACTCCCGCCCCGGGGAAGCGGCCGCTGTCTCAAGTGCGAGCTGTCATTTCTAACGAGCGTCTCCCTCTTCTTTCTTCCAGCATTAAAGATTGGAAGACGAGACTGAGTTATTTCCTGCAGAACTCTTCCAACTCCAATAAAAGGAAATCCAAGAAGGCAGGGAAACACCGCAACTACTTCAGGTGAGTTATGAAAAAGAGACATTGTATAAATAACTCGAGAGTTCTACAAAAGCAGTAAAGCTTGAGCAGTGTGGTCTSATGTTCTCCCTCCTTTTCTGCAGACCTTCCCCTGAAGAAGCCCAGCTGTGGTCAGAAGCCTTCGATGAACTTCTTGCTAACAAATGTAAGTTTGTCTTTAAAAAGTAACATTCGAGAGCAAAGGGATGGAGTAGTTTATGTGTTTGTAAGAGTTTGCTTCCTTTCATGTCAGCACTGTACCTCTCACAYAAAGAGCTTTGATTCTGGTCTTGCAAGCTAAATGCTTTTAACAATTTATAGCCAAAATACATATAGAAGTGTTTCCTTAAAAGATGGTAAACTAATAGTGAAACAAAAAATACCTCATTGTAGTAGATTTTTTTCCTTGTAACCCCTGTAGCTAAAATCATACCTGTCAGCTTGGCTTTGCCAAGTGGAAAAAGAGCATTTGTTCCCTGAGCTCACTGTGTAACCAAGAMAAATGCTTTCCAGTAATGTGGAAAGGATTCCACAACACAGGTTCAGTGATGTTAGGGTTTTACTGTAGCTCAACAGCATTCAACAGCACAGAAAAAAAACTAAAAAAATAATACTACTGCTTGCTCTTTGAGCTTTAGTCATCCTTTCCATTGAAAGAATATTCCAGAGTGCTGTAGCAGTCATATTTACTGCAGTGTAAAGGTTAACAGAGSAGATCTTATCTGGACAAGTGGCTTTTTAATGTATTCCCAGTCATCACTGGAGGAAACATATCAACTAGAAATGGTTTCAATTTTTGTGTTTGCCTAAGAAATGGCAAACTCAAAGTGAAACCTGCCAAGCACTAACTTGCTTGCAAACATAAATTATGGAAATTTTTATTGCCATGCTATTGCTGAAAAACCAGACCTAYAGCTAAAGATTTTGGTAGAAACTGATGTGACCAATAGGTAAAATCAAGATTCCTGAAACAGTTAATTGAGTTTTGGGTTTGTTTTTTTTTCTTTTCCCTAGATGGTCTTGCTGCTTTCCGAGCTTTTTTGAAGTCTGAGTTCTGTGAAGAGAACATCGAGTTCTGGTTGGCCTGTGAAGACTTCAAGAAGACAAAGTCACCCCAGAAGCTGACATCGAAAGCAAAGAAAATCTACAATGATTTCATTGAAAAGGAGGCTCCCAAAGAGGTAAAGAAAACTTAGTTAAACATAAATGCTCTGTTCTAGGAGTTCTTGAAGCCGCTATTTCTTTGAACTAATGTTAAGATGCAGATGTCAAACTGCATTGTACATGCCTCTTAATGCCAGGGTCTGAATGCAACTGCCTTTTCATCGAGCTGGAAAATGGCACAAGCAGTGTTGTAGAGTTTCCACTTTAACTGAGAAAAGATGTATCCAAATTACTTTTAGTTTTTTTGTAAAAGGAGAATTTTCTTAAAGAAATTTGACCCCRTAGTAACAGGGTCTTGCCTTTTTTACCTCTTCAGAAGTTTTATTGTGTGTTACACTTAGCTGAGTTCAGTTCTCAGAARTAACATTGTTCTTTCTTTAATCCAGATAAACATCGACTTCCAGACCAAGAACCTGATTGCGCAGAACATTCAGGAAGCCACCCATAGTTGCTTCAGCGCGGCGCAGAAGAGAGTTTACAGCTTGATGGAGAACAACTCCTACCCGCGCTTTTTGGAGTCCGAGTTCTACCAGGAACTGTGCAAGAAGGCACCGATCAGCAGAGCAGCCCAGGCCACATGAGCAAGGGAGAGGAGGGAGAAGCAGCCCTGGGCTGGTGGGGAAGCCGGGCCGCAGCTCACGAGCAGCATCCTGACCCGAAAGGCTGAGGCASCGGCGCTCGGTCTGTGTGCCACGGTGCAAGGACAAACTGTGGCTTTGTGGCAGAGCTGCCGGCCCAGAGCGACGCTGTTGGACGGTGTTTGGGGTGACAGCAGCAGTGTGACAGCTGGCACTGCCCTTCCCTGCCCGTGCAGGAGCCACAKCCGAGGAGTGCCACGGCAGGTCCGGACAGAGCCTCCTGCTCCTGAACAGAAGCTGTCTCTGCACCGGGGCACTGCTGGGAGCCCGAGCCATCGGTTGCCTGTTTGTTTTTCCTAAACATCAGCGTTGCTGTTGCCAGCGGGGCTGCTCGGGGTGCTCACACCGGTTCTGTTACTGCGCTGGTTTCTGTGCCGCCTCCACACAGCCCCAAATGGAAGAACTCAGCTCCAGAGGAACAGGTTCTGCAGCTCCAGCGTGTGGGGCTGGGCTGTGYCAGACTGAGGGCAGCAGGAGCTCTATAGTATTATATTTATATGTGGGTTATGATTGTGTCGAATGCTGCAATGTTGTAATTCTGTCTTGAAGACAGCAAGCTTCAGTGAAGTTTTATTGTTTTTAATAAACTATTTTGATACGAAGCTTCTCGTGTTGCCTGGTTTGTGTTGTGGGCACAGATGACGCACTGTGGGTCCTGAGTGAGGACCSATTTTAGGGCTAATTTTAAAGCAGTTAGTTCTTGATCTGTGAAGTGACTTTTTTATTTGGGTTTTGGTTTTTTTTCCAACAGAATAAAAACCTTCAGATCTTGAAAGCTTAACAGGGAGACATCTTCAACCCCATCCTCTGTCCCAACATGCGTGTGAGGCACATTTACAGATACACATGGTGACAGACCAAACAGAGCAGTGCTACAGATCACAGGATCCAGCTGGGAATACAGGCACCCACAGCACTGCAGCTGCTCCTCTGCCCCACACCTCTGCTTCAAAAAGGATTTAGGAGGACTTAAATGCCAGAAATGCCAGGCTTCAACACCTGTGCATAGTCAGGAGAGGCAAGAGTACAATAAAAGCATTTCAGTCCCAGCTAAGAGACAGTTTATTGGAAGAAACTTACTGGTCACTGTTATTCCATTAATTTTTTTCCCCAAACCAGTCCCTAGTTAACATCTGCATTTCAGGTCTGTTTTGGTCTTGACTCCAGCTGTTGTGAGTCCAGTGCTCAGTTCATATGTGTCCACAGCAGTCACTTCTGTAACAGTCCACTTTTCCAAGCATTGAGAAAATCCTACTTTAATTACACATCCGAAAGCAACTCCTTCAGGTCTATGCATGCACTGCAGGAGGGGAGCCTACAAGAAACCCAGAGGGGTTTTTTTACAGGAGCATGGAGTGAAAGAGAAAGGGGAATGGATTCAAACTGAGAGTAGGTTAGATTAGATCAGATATTAGAAGGAAGTTCTTCACTGTATGGGTGGTGAGGCCCTGGCACAAGTTGCTCAGGGAAGCTGTGGATGCCCCATTTCTGGAAGTGTTCAAGGCCAGGTTGGATGGGGCTTTGAGCAGCCTGGGATGGTGGAAGGATTCCTGCCTGTGGTAAGGGGCTGGAACTGGYTCATCTTTAAGGCTTCTTCCAACCCAAACCATTCTGTGATTATATCAGGACTCTGTGTATAGCTGTGTGTATATTCACACACATAGCTGCATTATAATCTGTACATGGAAATACAATTGCTACAGCCCCTGCCTTGCCATAGCCCCATTTCTGGGGCTGTGAGAGCTGGCTTTCACGCAGATACCCTTGCTGAACAGTTAAAACCACAAAAAGCTCGCACAAGAAAAACTCAGCCCAATAATTTCCTGCCTCTGAGGTGTTTTACTAACAAGGAAAACCAGATTTGGGCTGATGATTTCTTTTGTAATATAAGAAAATAATAAAAACAGCCAGAAGTCTGCCTATTAAAGACTCACACCTGGGGCAGAAATAATTCCATGAAGCTTCAACTGTGCCAATTTGGGATGTGGTAATTAACTGCTGCTGGTGCCTGGTTTGCAGGAAACATTTCTAGTTTCAGCAGGTGCCTGAACTACTTACAGCTCAGTATGGAGRGGAAATTAAGTGGGGCTGTCAGGCATCCCTGCCTGAGGCTGCTCTGGAGCAGTGTTAAATTGGAATAATGAACACTGAGTGTTAGGAAGGCCATGCAGGCACAGAGTGAGCCTCTGGGGCAGCTTCCAGGAGGAAAGTCCACCAGAATAAAAGGGTGCTCCAGGCACACTGGGAGTGCTGCAACCCAAGAGATTGCCATGAGCMTTTCCTGTGGAAATAAAACCCCAASGATTGCTTTAAGAGATGCTGGTTCTGAACTCCAGGCAGCCTTGCAGCTGCAGTTAAAATTGGTGCTCTGCTCTCAGTATCCAATGGCAACAAATACTAAACTGCTCCTTCCCCCAGAGCCCTGCCCGTTCACACAGCCCCCAGTGCCACTGGGCTGCCCACGATCAAACACAGCCTGGTGCCAGGGAAAGGCCTGGCATGGGATTGTTGGAGCACCCCAGCAAATCTGGAACAACAGAAAYCTCTAACTATCCACATATTACTGTTTTTAAACCAGTCTCACAATATCTGGTGTTTCGCTTCGCTGTTAGAGGCAAGCCATTTCCCCATATATCACCAAAAAATATCTCCCACCTGTATGATGATAATG